GTCATCTGGTGCATTTGGTGCCTTGGGCTTGGGTCACCTGTTCACTTCGCGGACGAGATTCCCCAGCCCCGTGAGGACCTGGTGGAGGGTCAGAGGAGGGTGGGAAAGAAGGAGGGAGGATGCTGCCGAGGTCCCCGGACTCCAAAGACGCCCCGGGGCTTCTGCAGAAGGGCGCTGAGCTGTCCCACCTCCCAGAAGGAGCCCCGCTTGTCCCCCAGTCCTAGGCGTCTCCTTGGGCTGCCCCAGCCGCCTCTCGGGCCCCGTGGAGGCACTGGCCACTGGGGAAGAGAGAGGCTGACTCTTTCCTGTCCACACTGTGGTCCCTCCGGGGCACAGTGACCCGTGTGGCATCGTGAGTGTGTGCAGAGTCCCCAAGCCCAGTGCCCCACCCCTTCCTGGCTGGGTGACATCTGTGAGGGGCTGAGGGAGGGCCTCGGTCCTGGGCTCCTGTTTCCTGGGCTGTTGGACGCGGCCCCCACGTCCTGGAAGCCCAAGCCACAGACCTAGGTGTCAGGGCCTCGCTCCTGGGAGCTCTGGGGACAATCCTTTGCCTCTTCCGGCTTCTCCCAGAGACTGGAGACCCGACCCAGCCACAGCTGCGGGCCCTGTTCACAAGGGTCACGCGTCTCCTGGGGACACGGTTCAGCCCACTCGGGTTGAATGAGGTCAACCAGGCGCTTAGAAGAGGCGGGGACGCAGTCGGATTTGATGGTGGCCGATGGCTCCTGTCTGTGTGATATGGTTCCTTTAAAATCTAAGGGCTTCAGCAGGGAAATGGGGATTTCTCAAAAAACAAAAATAAAAAATCAGAACATTTGGTGACCTTCAAGGCCAAGCGTCCTGGGCAGCGGCTGCCCCTGCAAACTTGGCCCTTGGTTCTCAGCCGCATGCCTACCCGTATCCCCGTCTGGCCACGGGGATAAGTGAGCTCGAGGCTCCTGGCCTGGCTGAGGCACCCCCACCAGCCCACGGCCTGGCCCTGACTCAGGGCCTGGCCCTTCTTCTCCATGGGGCTCAGTCTCCACATCTGGGAAGTGAGTCTTCTGATACACGTGGGGTGTTGCCAGGAGGCATGAAGTGTGGGTGAATCCACCCTCTCCTGTCCTCACTCGTGGCTACACACCTCGATTCTTTTTTTTTCAAGGGTGATTTATGACTGAGCCCCGCCCCCAGTCTTTTTTTTTTTTTTGGTCGTTGTGAACAGCGCACCTTTATTTCATTATTTTTATGAGGTGCTGAGGATGGAACCCAGGGCCTCACACATGCTAGGTAAGCAACCCCCAGTCCTTGTTTAATTTTTGAGACAAGTTCTCGCCAAGAGGCTGAGGCTGACCTCAAACTTGCAATCCTCCAATCTCAGCCTCCTGAGTTGCCAGGATGACAGGGGTGCGCCACCTCGCCTGGTTTACCTGGATAATTTTTACCTTTGATACTTGAGACTTGGGGAGGTGCCCTTTGCTGAGAAAATAGCCAGAGCATGGCCATGGGCCATCGAGGAGTTGCTTCTCCCTCGGCTTCTTTCCCTTGATCCCCAGAGTGGGTGGCTGTAGTATTTAATTGGTATTTTGACTTGCAAATGAGGACCACTGTTTAGGCCCTTAATTTGTAATGTGAACTCCCTGGACCTGGTATTTGCACTTCCTCTGTGTCTCACTGGCCTGACCCTCCTCCCCAGCTGCACAGGAATCCTGGGGAGAGCCCCCCATTTTTGCACTCTGCCCCCAGAAAGGGCACGCAGGCTGCGTCCAGCTCCTGCCCCATAAATAAAGCTGCGTGGCCACCGTCGTGCTCGGTCCCCGTGTCTAGGCTGCACTTGGCTCTGGGAAGTCCCAGGGTGACTGCTGGAGTGACAGGAAGCTGCATGTGTCCGGTGCCTAATCTGACCAAGGCCGACTTGATCCACTGCTCACGGCCTGAGACGGCATCGGGTCGTCTGACTTTGGGCTCCTCTGATGACCGAGTCTGTGCGCCTGTGCGTGCCCTTGTTGGTCTTGGGTTCTTTCTTCTCTAAACTTCCTCTTCGCACCTTTGCCCTCGCCCTGTTAGGACCACTCTATTTCCCCCACGGTGTCTTGTCAGTGTAAGACTCTGCAAATCTTTCTCCACTTCTGAATCCTTTATAAATGATGATTTTTGTGCCGGGGATTGAACCCAGAGGCTCTTTAGAGACAGGGTCTGCGTGGCTGAGGCTGGCTGTGAACTGGCGATCCTCCTGCCTCAGCTTCCTGAGCTGCTGGGATTACAGGCCACCAACCTGCCTTAACATTTCCCCTATTGGTTTGTGGGCCATCGCTCTCCGCTGGGAAGCTTCTGCACGAATCTGGTCTGCCTCTGCGTTCTCTGTTGTGCTGTTAGTCAAAATTTCAGTAAGGCCAAGAAAATTCAATGAACCATTGAGGCGAGGAATCACAGTTCCATAGCTTTGAGGGCCACGGGGCTGTGCAGAATGAGACTGCATTCCCAAGTGCCTCGCGCCCAGGCACCGTGTGTGACTGGCTCCCGGAGAAATGCTGCTGCTTCTGGGTCAAGGCCTTGAGGAGAGCGCCGCACCTTTCCCAGCTCTTTGGGGTGGTGTGGCCTTTTGTACCGTACCCCATGAGGAGCGCTAGTTCCAACGAAGGAACGAGGTGAAGGAGGGTCACTGGGATCCAACACCCCAGAGGGGGGAATCCCACACGGCTCCGCGTCTCACCCGAGCAGTGTGGACCTCAGGGTTTTCACACCGGAACAGGCCTTGACCACAGACTGCCGCTGGCACGGTGGCGCATACCCGCAGTCCCAGTGACTCAGGAGGCTGAGGCAGGGGGATCACATGTTTGAGGCCGGCCTCAGCAACTCAGCGATACCTTGTCTCAAAATGACAACGGCTGGATGCAGCCCAGTGGAGAGCACCGTGTTGTCCCCAGCATGGCAGGGGTACAGTCCGCTTGGCTCCGCCCAGTCTCTGATTCAGCCTGGGGTGGGGCCCAGGAGTTTGCCTTTCTACGCTCCCAGGCTGCGGCACCAGTCTGACCTGTTAAGTGGCTCCCCTGGGACCTCGTCACCGCCCTTGGCTCCTCTGCCTGGACCCTGGGCCTGAGCATGGCACCTCCTGGCCCCGAGTCGACGTCCGTTGCTCATGGAGGTCGGTCAGTCACACCTGGGCAAAGTGAGCCCCCTGTGGCCCCAGGCGGCTGCCACCAGGCTCACACCCCGCTCTGAGCGGCCCATCTGCCCAGACTGAGGCCTGAGAGCCACTCGGAGGCACAGGGGGACCAGCCGGCTCTGCCAGCAGGGGGCACCTGAAGCCCGGGGTGGAGGGGGGAGGGCACACAGAGGCAAGCGGCCTCCCAGTGTTCCTGCAAGTGACCACACCGGCCCCTTGTCCCAGCATGGCACGTGGGTGGCGGCAGCTTCCCGTCTTCACCGGTTGCTGGGTGGCAGCTACCCCCAGGATGTCACTGCACTGCAGTGACAGGGCCCCCCAACCAGCAGTCCCCAGGGAGCCTGCGTGCGCCTGCCTGGGCTCCTATTTTCTGGAACAACTCACAGCGCAGCAGCAGCCTGCTCCCAGCCCGTGGTGGGCACTGGCGGAACTGCCCACGGCCAAGGCCGTCCACTCCACTTTGGGCTGAGGCGGAGCCAGGCCTCAGCGCCAGGCGAGGCGTGCCCCTGGGAGCCCTGGCCCCGCGCGGACCCTCCTGGCTGGGTCTTGGTCTCTGCCTCGTCTTGCCAGCTCGGGCCTCCTTTCCAGAACGTGCCATTCCCCGGGCCTCAAGAAGGTTCTCGTGCAGCGGGGGCTCCGGGGCTCCTCACTCTCAGGCTTAAGTCTGTCCCTGTGGGGACCCCGCGGGCTGAGCACAGCTCTGGCACCGACAGTGAGTGCCCAGGACGCCCAGGCAGGCCCTGCAGGGACAGTGGCTCCCGTCAGCTCAGCGGGAGGGCAGGTCTGCGGACCCACCTCGGCCCACCCCGCCAGCAGGCAGAGGTCCTGGTGCCCACTGGGCTCCAGGGGGAGCTCCTGTCAGCCTCTGCCCCCCTCTTGGGTGCTGGGGAGGGGGCAGGTGGTCACCTCCGTGCCCGCCCACTGGGCTCAGCCCCTCGGCTTAGGGGACGCCCTCTGCTGGCCGAGTAAGCAGCGCAGGCTGGCGGCTCCAGGTCCCTCAACTTCATCAGGTCCCTAAAGAGCCCGTGTGTCTACTGGCCCGTCTGCTGTCACTGGCTCATCTGCTGTCAGCAGTCACGACGAGGGTGAGGTCAGCTCAAAACACCCTCGAAGTTTCCAGGAAACTGCCATTTGGCAGCTGTGGCCCATGGACTCAGCCTGCTGGGCTGCTTCCAGGACCAGGGTCTGTCCCATTCCTGTCTGGGGACCGTCACAAAATCCCGGTCAGCCAGGCCCCTGCCCATGAATTCCCACCCAAGCAGCCAGGCCGGGGCCTCGGGCACCACACGTGCAAACCCCACAAAACAGGAAAATGTTTTAATTGTAAAACTGACTTGGCGGGGCAGGGCGGGCAGGAACCCGATCTTCAGGCAGTGGTTCTGTCCCTGTGCCACCCCACAGAACAAGGATGGTCTGTCCCCAGTTGGGGGCAGGGCTAGTGTTATAAAATGACAATATAAATAGATCTCTAGAAAACGGAGGCTGTCTGGTGCAGTAGTCACGAGCTGCAGGGCGGGGCTGGGGCGGCCCCTGACCCCTGCAGCCCCAGGGTGCGGGCTCTGGAGAAGGCCACTCTCAGACATTCATGATGGACCTCCACAATGGCTCAGGAGGCTGGAGGCCAGGCGAGGTCTCAGAGACGCCCACCTGCGGGCTGAGGACACAGGGACTGCCAGGCGCACACGCAGGCACGCGCACTCACACACCTTCCGTATGTCCCCGCCTGCAGCGACCCTGCTGCAGGTTCCCAGCGATGTGTGGGCCGCCATCCTTCAGTCCATCTGTCCTGGAGACAGATGCAGTGGAGGGCCTGCCCGGAGGGTGGGGGTCCTAGGAGCCTCACTTGCTCCAAGTCCCTGTGTTTTTCAAAGTCAAAACCAGAGTTCAGTAGTAGGCCCCACAAAGCCCCCCGTGAGGAGGTGGCGCCACACGGAGTGTCTCGTGGGCTGGGAGGAGTGGGGACGCTGCCCTACTGGCCTCCGGCAGGGCAGGGTGACCCAAGGGCTCTTTGGTTCAGGGCCAGGGCGCTGGCCTCATCTGGTGCGGTTCTGGCGCATGAGGGGCACGATGCTGGCGGGTGGCCCGGCCTTGGTCAGGAACGGGTGCTTCAGCAGCTCGGCCGCCGTGGCCCTCTGGGCCGGGTCGCGCACCAGCAGGCGGTCCAGGAAGCCCTTCAGGGACGGCGACACCTGTGGGGGAGGCAGAGGAGGGTCGAGAGAGCCCCGCACCGGGCCCAGGGCCAGCTCCGCCGCCACCTCCTCAGGTCTCCCTTGCCTCCTCTAATGTGCAGATGGCACCTGCTGACCAGGGAGGGCCCAGAAGCCCTGGCTGGAGCCTGACCTGGGGCGGTGACGACCCACGGCCTCTGGGGCTCGCTTCCTCCCCACTGCTGTGATCTGGGAGGACGAGGCCACAGCCGGGCCCTGGAGTGGGCCTGACCTGTCTGGGCGAGCGGGCAGGTCCCGGCCCTGCCGTGTGGCGTGTTCGGCTGGGCGGCACCTCTGGGGACCATGAGGTGCGGACCCTGGGCGCCCTGTCCGGGGCGCGGTCCCACCCGCCCCTCACACTGCCGGGGCCTGACCTTGTGCAGGTTCTTCAGTCGCGGCGGCAGGTTGTCCCGAATCATCTTCATGGCTTTGAGGGGTGGCTCGTTGAAGTAGGGGGGCTCCCCGTCCACCATCTCAATCACCATGACCCCCAGTGACCAGATGTCCACCTGGGGAGGGACAGCAGGCTGACTGAGAAGGAGCGGCCAGTCCGTGGGAAGCCCTGGGCGAGGATCTGCTCTGCCCTGCTCTGCCCTGGCCGTGTTGCTCCTGGACCCTGGATGGCCTCCTCCTGAGGGTCTGCCCGCCCGGCCCTGCCGCCTGCTCTCTAAGGGCACTGGCGCCTCCTCCGCTGAGCCCTCCCTCTCAGTGCACCAGGTCTACTGTGGCCCCATGTGGCCATGACCTAGGCTGCTGGGTCAGCTGTGGGGACACAGGGCATGTGACCAAGCTGAGCCGATCAGAGTTAGTCCTGGGACTTCAGCAGAAACACCAGGAAACGGCGAGGCTCTCCCAGGGGAGAGCGTCTCCCCCAGAGGCCGCCTCTGCTCCACGGGGGGCGGGCGCCTGCGGGCACGGGTCACCCGAGGAACTCAGGGCTGGGGGGGGACAAACACGTGGTGGCTGTCGGAAGCCTGGGACGGTTCTGGGATCCACGAACTTCACATTTTTCTGCATCTAATTGTGAGGGTTTCTGTCAGTCTCAGATGGTTCTGAGATGTCCCCTCGGAGTCACACCAGCTTGCCCTGCCAGGGTGACCCCACTCCAGCCTGAGTCCCCCATGTGCTTCCCAGGGTGCCTTTCTCCTGGCCAGGCACTGGGTCAAGTCCTGTGGATTGACCAGGGAGGAGTCCTGCGCCAAGCAGCTACCGGCAGGAGGGACACAGGCCAGGGCAAGGGAGGGACATAGGCCAGGGCAAGGGGGGGACACAGGTCAGGGCTGGCAGCAGGATGGCTGGAGTGTGTCTGCCCTCTCCAAGGGGAGGGGCCCCTCAGCACACTGAGAGTGGCCATGAGGGCACCTGGGCTCCCTGAAGCCAGATGGGGCTTCCCCACTGTGGACTCCCACAGCCGCGGCCGCTTCCCACGCTGACCACTTCTGCCAGCATTCTGTTCCCACTGCCAGGCCCCGGGCCTGGCCCAGAACCAGAGCTCCACCAACGACGAGACACGCACCCGCCCTCTTCACTGCACCGTCCCTGCGACCGCTGCCCAGGCTGGTCTCCTCAGCCCAGCACCTGCAAATGTCACCGGGACAGCTGGGCCACTGCGCTCACCTCTGGCCCGTAGGGAAGGCGGGAGATGAGCTCCGGGGCCATCCAGTAGGGCGTGCCCACCAGCGACTTCCTCCGGGGCACCTCCTTGCTCACCTGGGCGCAGAACCCGAAGTCTGACAGCTTCACCTGGGGACAGAGAGCCAGGTCAGGGCGTGGCCTTGGGGGCAGCAGAGGGAGCCCTCGGGGTCTCTCATCTTGGAATTAACAAACTCTGTAGGGGACACCTGGTGCCCTGGGGCTCTTAAGGGAAGTGGCCTGAGTCCTGCACATACCAAAGGCCGGGTGGGGATGGGGACAGCAACACACTGTACCCCAGTGTGTGTGTGTATGTGTGTGTGTGTGTGTGTGTGTGTGTGTGTGTACGTGCACAGGAGTTGGGGAGACAGACAGACACAGCCTGCCTCGGCAACAGCCAAGACCCCAGAACCGAGGGTCTGGAACCCTGGGCCCCTCCCGACTACCAAGGGTATCTAGATCTTTCCAGAAAACACGCTCTCAGGGGGAGCCTGCGATTTCAGGAGGCTCACGGACGTTCCCAAACACACCTGTCTAGAGCCTGGGGTTCTCTACCTCGGGCTCCATGAAAACCGTGCGCCCTCTGTCTTCGCAGGAACATGAGGGACCTCGAGCTCCCTTACTGGAGGACAGTGACGTCCCCCTTGGGTTATATACAAGTTCTGGGTACAGTGAGGCTCCTGCGCGGCCCTAGATTCAGAACCTCCGTCTACGGCAGGGCGGTGGCTGGGCACTCATGGCCTGCCGGGGCTGGACTGAGCTGCTCAGCTGAGACAGAAGCACCTGGCTGAGGCCCCCTGCCAGTCTAGGCGCCTGCCCCTGGGCCCAGGTCTGGACTATTCCACGGGAAACAGATCAGCTTACTGCTCCTCACAGCCCTGAACTGAGGGTCAGCACGTGTCCCCAACGGCAGAGGGGACCTGGGGAGAGGTGGGGGAGCACCAGCACCTGGCCACCCGCCTCCTCACCCTGCCATCGTGGGTCAGCAGAATCGAGTCACTCTTGATGTCCCGGTGGATGACGCCCTGGGCGTGGAGCACAGACAGGGCCTGCAGCACGGCCAGGCACACGGCTGCGATCTGCTCCTCGTTCATCCTGCGGGGGCAAGGGGCAGTGGGCGAGGGAGCCAGGGGCAAGGGGCAGGGGGCAGTGGGCAAGGGGCACTGGGTGAATGGGCGAAGAGCGAGGGGGCAGTGGGCAAGGGACAAGGGGGCGAGGAGTGAGGGGCAATGGGCAGTGGGCGAGGGGGCAGTGGGCAGTGGGCGAGGAGCAGTGGGTGAGAGGCAAGGGGGTGAGGGGCGAGGAGCGAGGGGACAGTGGGCGAGGAGCGGACAGGGCCCTGCTTCGGGGGTCTGAGATGGACACGGCCCTGACTTGGGGTATGGGTGGGGGGATCTGAGAAGACACAATCCCAGTCAATGGGGGACACAGACCTGCCTTGAGTGGGGACGGGGAAGAATCTAAGAGGACAGGGACCCAGGCTGGGGCTCATGGCACTGCTGGCTGAGATGTGGCCTTGCCCATCCTATCTGGGGGGACGTGACCCTGTCACGGGAGGGGGTGTGTGCAGGGAGCTCGGGAGCCAGCAGGCTGGTGGTCAGCTAGGGCGCGGCCACCCGCGTACCTGGTGTGGGTGACGATGTCGGTGAGGGCGCCGCCCTCCAGGAACTCCATGACCACCCAGAGCTCGTCGCCCACCAGGTAGCTGTTGTACATCTCCACCACGTTCTCGTGCTGGTAGTCCCGCATGATCACCACCTGAGGGGGTGTCCGTGAGGCAGGGCGCAGCGTCCCGTCGGGAGGTTCCACCCCACTTCTGCTCACCGGTCACTGTGGCCTTCCCCACGGCCCAACCCAAGCAGGCCCGACCCTTCACCCCATGCACCACCTGGCCTTCTGACCCCGTCCTCCATTCCCGCCTGGGCGAGCGGTGGCGGGCCCTGACCACCAGGCTGGCGCTGGAGAGGGACGGGCGAGCCCCGCAGCCTGAGGTGAGAGGACGCAAGGGGAAGCCGGGCCTGCGGGGACCCTGCCCACAGGGGATGGGCAGGCGGGGTTCAGGGAGCACAGGGTGGGTTCCAGGGAGGGCCAGGAAACGCAGAGACAGGAGGACAGGGGCTGTCCCCACGACCCCCAACCTGAGCTCCTCTGAGGAATCCTGAGTCAGAGGGGGACACTTCTCCTACCCAGACTCTGGGGGCTGAGCCAGGAGCTGCCTGTGGAAGAGGCCACGAGAGCCAGAGCAGGAAGCTGGACAGACCAGGCGCCTCACTGGGGCCAGATCAAAAAGGACCTCAAGGGACAGTGAAGGGCCAGGGCTCCACCTGAGAGCACGGGGGCGGGCGCTGTGAGGGTCTGTGCAGCGGAGCAGGACGTGGCTGGCCTACATGGCAAACAGTCCTGGCTATTTGGTGGGAGGGGGGGCAGGGATTGAACCCAGAGATGCTAACCACTGAGCCACACCCCAGCCTGATTTTTAAAAAAAATCTTACAATTTTGAGACAGGGTCTCACTGAGTTGCTTAGAGCCTCAATAAATTCTGAGGCTGGTTTTGAACTTGGGATCCTCCTGCCTCAGCCTCCTGACCTGCTGGGATGATAGCCATGCGCCAGTGCATCTGGCCCCCTTGGGCTCTTGTATGGGGACTGTTTAGGGGATGTCCAAGAGGGGAGGCTGCATAGAGACATGGGTGGGGGACAAAGAGAGTCTAGGACGCTGTCCTAGAGACAGAAGGGGTGGTGGGGTCTCCTGGAGACAGGGAACCAGAGGAGGAACAGGCCTGAGGGGATGATCTGAAGGCCAGGTGGACCCTGATGGGTGACAAGGCCCAGAGGACACTGAGGGAGGGCCTCAGGGGTCCCCAGGGCCTCCCTGAGGCTGGGAGGCACACTGGGACGGAGGGGTGGGCGCTGTTAGGGCGGAGACAGAACGCTCCAGCGGGGTGGTGGCTGGTGCACGGAGCAGGAGGGGAGAGCCGAGGCCGCGGCCACACACCCCCCCCCCTCACTCCACCCAGAGGCACCCTCCCTGCCCATCCCTGCCCTGTCCCGAGGCCTGGCTGCAGCCCGGCCACCCACCTCGTTGAACAGGAGCTCGCGCCTCTGCTGCTTACGCAGGTCCATCTTCTTGACGGCCACCAGCTTGCCGGAGCTGCGCACCGTGGCGATGCACACGATGCCCGTGGAGCCCTCCCCGATCTTGATGAAGTTGTCCAGGTAGGAGCGGGGGTCCCCGGGGTCCACTACCAGCTGAAGGGCGGCCCGGAACTGCTCATGGGACACTCGCTGTGGCTCCCGCTGGGGTGAGCGGGG